ATTCGATAAATATGCATCTGTTGAACAGAAAAATCTTTTCCCAATTTCAGATACCTGCTGAATGGGTGAACAACATCTCGATCCATTCGATCGCCACTTTCATGAAGGCGAATCGCGATGTCTACGGTGGAAGCTTTGGGAAAGTGAATCTCCGAGCCGCCGATGTTCTGCCATCGAATGAACAAGACACTGTCCGCTCCAGAAAGATCGAATCGTTGACTGCACTTAAGTACTTAGGTGTCTATGTCGTGTATGTGCATCACCTGGTTGATAAGCCTTCAAGAATCATTGAGGGCTACTGGGCAGGAGATCCGGATGGCGGCGGTTGCCCAACAAGCAAGAAGACGTTTTCTGGGCTTGTTTGTCTCTCATAAATTTCTGTTTTTCGTTAAAGCATCTAGGTACAGATGCGAATGCTACGCACGCTATGACTCTCGCACGTGCCTTTCGTCAGGTTGCCGCAACGCGGATCTCCCGAACAGTACCCCAATTCTGAGGGTTTCACCGTATGTGCTTATACCCACGCTACAAAAACCAGTTTTTGCCTCATAACCTTGAGAGGTCGGTAACTTCAGCCTCCTTAGATATGTTTTTTTAGCCGTGGTTCCAAATAGTTCCCGAGCCTTGTCTCCTCAATCTTTCGGCTCTCTTTTCTCTGTGTCCCAAATCCCCCGAAATAGTGTAGGACCATTGTACTTTTCCGCTTTATATCATTGTTGAATTGTTTCAAAATGCTCAATTTGAAACACATTCTTTTCTATAATCTATAACGGGTTCTGATGAAGTTATACTCTAAAATTCTTTTCAACACTTGTCCTTGAAAAGCTATTTCCAAAAGAAGTGTGTCAAACACCAGAACAACGTTAAGGGAACGGTCCGCGATGGACCTAAAAAATGCAAAAGATAGCGTGGGAAGGGTAGTATGGTCCACAATGAACAACCAGTGTGCCAGTCTTGCGGTGGAAAGTTGTAAGGTAAAGGAGTGAATGCGCAGTTGCTGCGGTGACGCCATTCTTATTCCCGTAATCTCGCCTCCGAAGTGATGCTAAAGAACACGTAGATAAATTGGACGATCCATTGCCTCTTGTGTGGTGATAGGGTTGATTACAAGGGAATAGCTGGTCTCTTCCTAGCATACGTCTTTTGGCCTTTTACCCGAAGAATGGTTTGGGGCTGGAGGAGCCCTATTGAACGCGTCGCCTACCTTCCCTTTTCTCGATTTCCTCTTCACGTACTGGTCACTTGACAACTTCTCTTCCGTAATTCAACACCACTACCTACGCTCCTTATCGCGGATCCTGTGGGATCGGATTAACATAAGTATTAAAACCTCTCGCTCAATAGAAGACTGAGGGTGCCCCGTGCAACTGAGCAATCTCTGAACAAGATGTGGCAGAGTTGGAAATTCCCTCTGGCGGTATATAGGATCCTCAAATAGCCTTAACACGAGACTGCCCCTGCAACTTCGGGAAATACTCATATAGCTCTCTAAAGTTCTGAAAACTGAGCGCGCTACTCGCGGGCAGGAAAGGCGGAATGGGGGGGGGTTGGAAAAGAAGCTCTGGGTTGCTCCGGACAGGAAAGGTGAACGGCACTTATTCCGCTTCCAACTTTCCAGGCCAGGGGCTGCCTAGGCGGAGACTGAGCGGTGTTATGTGCACTCGCTGCTCATACGCTCACAGTCCTACGCGCAGTTTGGGGTACTGTAGTGACTCTTTTCTAACCTTATTAATTGTTATATATTATATCGGCGTTCCAAAAAATATGGGCAGCAACTCGGACTCTATCCAACACCAGATTTTCGAGAAAATTTCAGGCGAATTTGTTTCGGGTGACACCTTGGGAAGTAGCCTTGACGCCAGAAGAGTAGCCTAAGCTTGGCCAGAAAACTTGTTTTCTCACGGTCATCATAACAGCAGTATAAAAGCTTTTATCGTGCACACTCTGCACTATTATTCCATCCAAACAACGTCCATAACACATAAAAATAAGGCAATATTTAGTCTGCTAATCCCTTGGCACTCCACTTCAGCACGTCGACTCAGCGTCGAACTGAAAGGAAGCCATATAAATAATATTAAAATAGGAACACGTATGAGAAGCTTATTCGATGGTCGCTAGTACCTAGGCTCTTTGGGGGGTTCTTCAGTGACCCGCTACCAAAAAGAAGAAGGGAACCCACCTGTTCAGTAATACTTCGAGTATCACAAAGTCACTTGCTTCGTCTAGATTATCATGACTATACACGGCTCGGGCTAATCCTCGATGAAGATCGTCGAACGCTTCAGATTCCTCTTCGATTCTGAGAAATAGTATAATTGATGCGAACACTCAGCAAGATTGTGGGATGCATGTTTGGGTCGCTTTCAGAAAGGGGATGGCAATTTGGAAAATTCTCGTCAAGATTCAGAGCGTCCCAATCGTGTCGATCGTCTACCCCTCCCCCAACTCGCCTATCGATAAAGGAGTGTTTGGGACGGCTCTGTTCAGGTACCGTTTCGCCACACTCATCACGCCCAAAGCCGTGAGTATCGATGGAAACGAGTCGCGCCGAAACCCTTGTTCCGATGACACGCCCAGACTGACTTCAGTGATAACGACAGAACAAGGACTGACCTGTGCAGCTGATATTTTGACTGAGCCTCCGACTCCGTGCATAACTGTTCATGCAGCCCACGACTTGGTGACGCTAGACAATTCCTCGTCAATCTTTTCTCTGCTCTTCTTGATTTTGTAAGCGCAATGATGTAGCATTTACAAAAGCAGTTCACAGCTGTGGGCAAACTTAACTTACCCATTTGCTGACGATATTACATCGCTGTTGATGTAGAAACTATCACTAATCGATCCGGTGGTATCGATAGGAGAGTCGGTAGAGTTTGGACTGAAATAGTGCACGTGAACATAATCAAAAGTAAAGTGCGGTGGCCATAACCACTAACAAACCCTCCCTAAAACTCGGAAAAAAATTCGCCCTTAATTGTAATGCAAAAAAATGAAGCATACTATCTTATAAGGCAAGAAGATTCCATCAAAAGCACAAAAGAATATTGTGACCCTTAGCAAGCGCCGCGTGGGCCTTTTGCAACCATGGGCCGTTATAGCGCTTAACCAAGGTGCAACATGCCGACCCAGATGCCCACCGCAGCCGCCCGCCTACAAATGGCCGCACATCGCATCGAACTCTTATCGTTTACTGAGACTTACCTGGAACTCTTATCGCTTCCTTTGTAATGTACAGTTGATATGAAGCGTTCCCACATGAATAAATGAGTTTCTCGTTGGTACGATTCCAACGGGAAACTTGTGCAAAAATGTTCGCCCAGTGCAGTGCATAGTGGGTTCAAAGTTTTTCGCGGGGTTTGGCCGCTTGCTTTCGCTTCTTCGTCATTTTCTCACTATGTAGCACACCTACTACTATTTTTGGGCAAGTACATCATCGTGCCTTATGGCTTCAAAACCAGCTCTCAGGGCACGTCATACGTTGATGATTCCCAGGGAGGGGAGGGAGGCCTGTTCGGAAAAAGTTTTCAATTTGTGACCTTCAACTTTCACTAATTTTCCCGTTTCACTGCCGCTATGTAATCCTCTTTCGCCTGCTCTCCCTTACTCGACGGCAGTTTTTTTGAGGAAAAAGTGGAAGAGGGTTGGAAAAGTCAAGGAAGATGGCGAACGGGGGTCGTGCCAGAGGAAGAAAATCTAAGGGCGAGGGTCGAGGAGTTTTTCACCAACGGCAAGACTGTGCCTTGATGACCCCCGCTCCATTCTCAGCCGAGGAAGCAACCCCTCCCTCACTAGGATTCTGCGAACGATGCCCTGCCCTGCTTCAGCCAGCGCCATCGTCCTAACCTTTACATTGAATAAAGAAACACATGCGAACATAGAACCGAACATTACCTCCCAATGCTGTTGGTGCAAGTACAAGGACTCTGAGCTTCAGGAGTGGCCAGTGCAGGTTCAGCGGCGGGTCGTGTCTCTCGTGACAGCTGCCGAGGTCGTAGTTGATTCCGTGGCAGTGAAGGAGGTGAGTATTGAGGCACTGGGATCTGAAACCGTGTTTTGCATTAGTGATCTCAATGGGCAGAGCCTTTTACGGGGTGAAGCGTTTTTATTAGCTTTCAGAAATGTCTTTGTTTCCTGCGGGAAGGGAGGGGTCCCATCGACGTGTTCGCGTGTTCATAGCTTTACAAGAAATTACAGATTTTTTGCAAAAAGTTACTAGTATTTATTACTTGCGTGCCTAAAGACTCTGTAGACTTTCCTTTCGAAAGCCCGACACGTCGGAGGTGAAAAATGACTCCTTCCCACCCCAAAGCAGAATTGCTAGCCGTTTCCGATAAAGTATGGATTGGCATTCTGTGGCTCTGTTGGAAATGGGAACATGAATAACGGCGGCTTGCTAAGCAAATGTTAAAGCAAAAAAAAATTACAGGATAAAAATTATAAAAGTGGGTTAGTAATAAATGTACAACCACGTACGTAACATACAAAAAGCTCCAGTTTAGGTGGTAATTTGCTGACGAAAATTTGGCCTTCTTATTTTGGCATTTTAGAGAAGACGCCCAGTCCCTCGGTTATTTGAATAAACAAGGAGGGGTTCACTAGTCTTTGTTGTGAAGTCGAGAGTATAAGGCAGAATCCGCCGTCCGGTCTACAACTAGCGCTTCACACACGCTTTCGCGCTGTTCCTGTCCTCAACACCTCTGGGGATGGGGTTCCAAACAAAGTAAGCGCTCCAGTGAGGAATACCAGCAGTTTAATTCCAGTGGAATAACTGTAGACTAACCGGTCGTAGGCTGTAGAAGGATTGGAAAATATGTGGGGGGGGTGGCAGAAGGAGGCCAAAGTCTCTCATAATACCACCGAAAATAAAATATTGGAATAAAATCACGATATGATCATCACATTTGGCGATGCTTACCTGCGCCGAAAAGCTGGACGAAGAAGACTGAAACTTCAGTGATACCGTAGACAAAACAATTTATTTCGGAAAATCGAGCTTTTGGTATCGACTCGACAGTTCGCTTATTCATTTTGTTCACGGAATTCTATAAGGTTGGCGGGGAAAGTTCTGTCACTTTGGCTTTCTTTTTATAGAGAGGCGTGTAAGATCAAAATTGTACAGCAATGTTACTGCGGGGTCCTTGCCTGTTTTTGAGCACCTCATGGATGCCATCGCTTCACAATGCAGGGAGGCGCGATACAAAGTTGGACATCATCTCAATCTTGGCTTGAACTCAGACTTTTCGAGGTTTTCTCGTAATTTCTCGTCCAGTAATGATTGATTACGGGAGGCAACTCGCAGTTAGAAGGAGCAATGTCTGTGCACACCCACTGCAAGGAGAGAGCCGTCCAGCTCTATTGCATGAGGAACGGCTAGAACTTTTTTTGGAAGTGCGCTGCACTATCAGAAGCATTTGGAGGGGTCGGTGGCGATGGTAGCGGATAACATTCTTGTCCATATTGCAGAAGAAGAAGAAGCAGGAATCAAGCGAGTGGTACTAATAGAAAGACCACTCTTTGATGTATAAGTGCTCACATTACCGTTCACCCCTCTTCAGGTAATGGGCAAATATTTTGAGTTCGAAAAAGTGACAGAACTTTCCCGCCAACTTAATAATTCTGGGAGGCGGGGTCAGTGTAGATGAGCCTATATATGGTTTGGTCCACGAATGATAAAATAGATTCATTTGGCACAAAGACCGATTACACCTGTTAAAGTTGGTGTTACTGAACCAGAACGCCGGTCTTTGTTTTGGCCTCAAGAATGAGTTATCATTAGTTAATTAGTTATTTGAAAGTTTATCTTTATTTTCTCACAAACATTCGAAATTACCTGAAATTCCGGTGGAGATACAGGCAGGATTATGTTGTACGACGAATGCAAGAAGTAGCCCCGACTTGACGATTGCTTTTGATCAGATGCAGAAGCGGTTGTCTGAAATAGTGTGATCCAATGACACATTCCACGGTAGTGGTGTGGGCGGAGCCCGGCCACCTATCGTACATCCATCATTGACGCGACCTTCGTCATAGAAAGAGGAAGACGCAATGGAAGAAGACACAATGACAGATTCGGGCCCCACTAACAAGGGGAGCGTGGGATGCGCCTTGAAGTCATAGTTTCCTTCAAAGTTCGGCTCCATTTCTAGAGTGACATCAGAACTTTGTAGGCGTGGCACGATCACTGAACCAGGAGTGCTGTTCCAATTAGCCGCTCCACTTTGAAGGGCTAAATGTGACCCTTGCTATTTTGCTGAAGAATTTATCCAGATCATAGAGATAAAAAGACCGCTATTTGGCAATAATTCGCCATTGAACAGGAAATTTCGCACAGTCGTTCAATACAAAATAACCCACAAACACAAGTACATCGGCTATCGAACAATTGCACAATCTCTGCACCCACTACAGACATGACAAGCGCTGGACCCCTATATTACAGTTTTGCGAAAAAAAGATACCCACCCTGTCTATGGAGATGAGATCATCGATCCTCTCACAAGTCGGTGACTCGTTCTCATCATCTTCCGGGATTGTCGCACAGCTTTTGGTCGTTCCAGCTTCAAACGACGTTATACGACTGTCCGGGGTGCCCAACAATGGTGCAACTGGTACACGATCTGCAAGAAATCCTGTATAGAAAAAGGCAAATGCAATTTTCGGCGCTTGGAAAGGGAGCGAATTGTTGTCGAATTTCTTCCAATGTGACCCTTCTGAATGGAAGAGCATGTACGATCCTTAGTAATCCCTTCAAATAGCCTAATTAATAGAATTGGAATGAACTCGTCGCGTACGGGTGTAGAGGCACTAGAATCCCTGGGGATCGAGGTCTGAGTGACGTAGATGGCAATCTCCTAATGCAAGCGATTTGATGGGATGGATTTTTCTGTCTTTCATTGTGATAAATACGGCTCCATTAATCGCACCAATCGGGGGAACAAATGACCCGAGTGAACAGGAGGAAAGTGATGTAAAAGGGATTTTTGGCATGTACGAGCACGAAAGTGGTGTTCATGTATGCATGAATGATGTTAGAGGAACGATCACAGAATATGACTCAAAGGAATGGAGGTCTAATAAATTGCGCCCTTGAAGCTTCCAGTTGAATGGAAGGGCACGGCTAGCATACAAAGCCTTCGCACTGTGGTCACAAGAGACAGGGGTTGAATGGCACTTCTATTTCTTTGAAAGAGGAGTCGTTAACACGGATTTCTGGAGGCCTACTCCACGCCATCCATGTGGGCGGAGGCAGGTTTATCATTACACCCCCCCTCCAAATGGCGCGCCTCTAAAAATGCCCTTGAGAACCAAGTGGTCAAGTCAACAGTCCCAAAAGTCGCAGAAGGGAGTCTAAATAGGAAAAGTGGTCCGGTAAAAGTTCGTGTACTTTCATTGAT